GGACAACCAGCATGCAGCCCACACACAAGAGCTACTCGTACCTCCGTCATCATGTGCTTGGCTTGCTCCTCTGCGAAGTGATACTCGTTGGGCACGATGGCGTACAGCAGGTCCTCAAACTCGCTCGCATCCAGGTACCTGATGCACGCCGCACAAGTGCAGTATGGGCCAAGCAGAGGTTAGAACGGGCTGGCCATGCTGTCAATGCTAAACATCACCCACACAGCAAGGGGTCGGGACAACGAATTCATGTCCAGCAGCAACGCGCAAGCCATTTCTCAAAGCAAGGCACTCGTCTCTCCTCACTCTATGCACACGACCATCTGGCCCAGCGCACCACGCACCCATCATGATTGCTGTCCGCATCATCGAATCTGGTGCGCGCATACGCCCTCTTCTCCGCCGCACTCATGTTCTCCACGGCTTTCCTGCTGCGCGCCAGGTCGGGCGGCACGTAGTCTTCACTCTGCACGTCGTAGCGGTGCGCCTCCCAGCGCTCGTACTCCTCGTCAAACGCCGCCACCTCCTCAAACACGTTCTCCAGAAACTCCTCAAAGCTCAGCCGCATGTCCCCGTCCGTATCCCGCGACCTGCATGCGTAGGGCAGCGGCACGGGTGAATGGAGAAGCGTGCAATGTGGGGAGCTGCAGAGCGACCACAATATCGGGGCTTGGTTTCAAGGAAGTCTCACGGATGGTAAGAAGCGATGGCAGGCTGAAGCTGAGGGGGCACATAGGTGGCATGGATCACATGGCACAGCATGGTGTGCCGTAGCATGGCATGGCATGGCTCGGCATGGCATGGCATGGCATGGCTCGGCATGGCATGGCATGGCATGGCTCGGCATGGCATGGTGTGCATGGCATGGGGTTCATGGCATGGGGTGCGTGGCATGGCGTGCATGGCATGGTGTGCATGGCATGGTGTGCATGGCATGATGTGCGTGGCATGATGTGCATGGCATGATGTGCGTGGCATGATGTGCGTGGCATGGTGTGCATGACATGGCATGCGTGGCATGGCATGCGTGGCACGGTGTGCATGGCATGGCTCGGCATGGCATGGCTCGGTATGGCATGGCTCGGCAAGGCATGGCGTGCATGGCTGACCTGAGCTCCTCATCTCTGACGGAATCCACGAGCTTCTCGTTCTGGCTGTCCTCCGGGTGCAGCAGACTGCAGCACGCACACGTGGCAGGGGCGAGGGGGAGCAGGCTCATGGACGCAGCACGGGGAGGGCAGACACAGATGCAGTCGAGCCCATGATGAAGTATGGCGCACAGATACAGAGGCATGCGGAGCACGCGGCATGGCGTGGGCGCAAGGGGCATGCGTCTCACTCGTTGAACTCCTCCTCGTTGAGCAGCCCATCCCCATCGGCGTCCGCCAGTGCGAATCGCTCCCTCGACATCTTCACAAACTCGGCCATCTCGTCGTCGCCCTCCACGTGCACTGCCACATGCACACCATGCACCATGCACCATGCCCATGGCAGCAGTGCACCCGGTGAACAAGTGGCCACATGAAAGACAGTTGCTTGGGATAATGGGCAGCAAGCGAGCCTATGAACGCCTTTGTTGGTGGCGCCTTTGCAGGCACGCCACATGCAGCCAGCATCGAAGCATCTCAATAAAGTCCACAATTGGACCCAGAGGCCTCCCTCTTCCCCGTCACGTCCCTCCTCACCTCACCTGGCCTCGCATGAAGCCCCACACCTCCCCCCTCCCCCCCCTACCTTCCTCCCCCGGCGTGTCGTCGTGCAGGTACTCCTTGAGCGACACGCGCCCATCCCCATCGCTGTCCGCCACCTGCATCTCCCGCCGCGTGCGTCGCACACTGCTGCGCTGCCCCTGCTGCACCTGGTGCCGCGCTCACAAGAGAGGGGGAGAGGGGGGGGCGAAGAGGCAAGGTGAGAATTAGTATGGGGGGGTCGATAAATGTAGTGGGGAGACAGGATAGATGCAAGGAGGAATTGAGAGGGCAGCACGGGGGGGGAAGGAGAAGAGGAGCAGCATGAGTGTTGGTGAGCTGTAGATTATGTTGCTCCACATGGCTAACCAGCAGATGGACGCATGAGTATGGATGCTATCCACTAGGCCACATGGCACGGCGTTCGTGCCACATGGCATGGCGTACCTGCCACATGGCATGGCGTACCTGCCACATGGCGAGTTCGCTGAGCGAGACGAACCCGTCTTTGTCGTCGCTGTCGATGAGAGGGAATAGCACCCTCAGACGGTTCGTCACATTCACCTTGTGCTCCACCGCCTCTGCCCACACAACACAGCACCGCCATGGCAAGGGTACGGCAGCAACGGCGGGGCAGGCGCATGGCACGGGCATGGCATGGCAAGGGGTCACAGAGAGAAGGCACGGATGGGCGCAAGACGAAAGGTGACGGCATTGACATGGCACAGGGTCTCAAGCCACACACGCACACCACCATGGCATCTGCCACGCACACCACCATGGCATCTGCCACGTACACCACCATGGCATCTGCCACGCACACCACCATGGCATCTGCCGCGCACACCACCATGGCATCTGCCGCGCACACCACCATGGCATCTGCCGCGCACACCACCATGGCATCTGCCGCGCACACCACCATGGCATCTGCCACGCACACCACCATGGCATCTGCCGCGCACACCACCATGGCATCTGCCGCGCTTATCCACGAACAGCATGGCACATTGCGAATGAGTCAACACGGACAAATATCTCTGCTGTCACCGCTCTGCAACGCATGCACTCAGCCGTCTCACTGCAGCAGCCACCCGCCCTCTCACCCTGTGAGCTCCTCCCCGCTACCCGCGCGCCCACCTGAGTCGGGGCTGTCCTCCAGCCGCCTTAGCTCCTCGTCAGCCGCTTCAATCCTCGCTGCATCCTCAAACCCTTTCCGCCCGCCACCCGCATCTCCCTCTCCGCGGGGCTTGCCGCTGTGCGCCACGCGCACCTCCTCCCCCTGTCGCCGGAACTGCGCCTCCTCCCACTTGCGGTCGTCCCGGCGCGCCTCCATCTCCGCCACGAGCGGGTCGAACGTGATGTGCTCCAGCCGCGGGTTCACCTCCGCCGTCGCCGCGTGCAGCCGCACCGCCTTCCGCCCGGGATTGCCCCGCCGAGACTCCAGCCGCCGGCGGTAGCTGGAGCGAGGGCCGTGGCGGGGGGAGGCAGGAGCGCTAGAGGGCGAGTGGGGGAGGGGTGAATGGTCGGGGGGCGCGCGGAGGAAGGAAAAGAAGGCGAGGAGCGCGACGGCTGCCAACAGCAAGAGCAGCACGGAGTGCGGGGCCCAGCGGGCCATGGCGGTGATGGTAGCGAGGAGGCGGGAAGGTGGGAAAGGGGTCCACGTGGAAACAGGCCAATGAGAGACAGCCGAGAATTGCAGGCTGCTTGGGGCAATTGAGAGTCTTATGATTGACGTGGCAATGCTCCGTAGTGAGCGGAGACAGATGATGGCAGGGCTGCGATGTGATTCTTGGGTGCGGCGCAGCATCGAGGTGTTTTGAGGACGTGGTGCTTTTAGAGCGGGTTCAAAGTGACTTTGGCTCCGATGTCGGCCTAAATCCGACATCGTGCCCTCCTAAGCCGACGTCGTGGCCTTAAAGCCGTTGACCCAAATTGCAGAAATTTCGTTTCAAGTTTATTAATCTTGAACCCCCCCGATTGGTAACTTTGTTCCCCAAAGCGAGAGCATAAACCTCTGTCGCACGCCAAAAGGTCGGGAAACAATTGACGTGCGTGCACCACCCCCTGCCAATTCCGCCCCTGCCCCCGACACACAAAGCGTTTGGGCAGAAGGAAACTTGAAACTGCGTGCATACATTTTGGGACTTTCCGTGTGCATAACCCAGCACAGCGCCACCACGCTGAAGGCCGTGTATGCACCACACACAGCTGACCTGCCTTTCATGAAGTGTCCAAGACACAGGACCTCGATTTACTCCAAACACTTCCCACCCCCAAAAGCCCGACTCACGACAATAGGCCCCGCATTAGCATTCCCGCGACTGCCAAATCGCACCGTCAAATCGCACCGTCAAATCGCACGTCTAATCGCACAGTCAAATCGCACCGTCAAATCGCACCGTCTAATCGCACCGTCAAATCGCACCGTCAAATCGCACCGTCAAATCGCACCGTCAAATCGCACCGTCAAATCGCACCGTCAAATCGCACCGTCAAATCGCACCGTCAAATCGCATCGTTGCAAACACCCGCTTTTCCAAGCGATTTCTACCCGCGGGCCAGTATCAGCCCGGCATCCAGCAGCAGAAACCGGAGGAATCAGCTCGAGCAGTGCGACGAGGGAGTTAGGGTTAGTAAACGGCGAGAAAGGTACCCCTTGCACATGCGGCTTCATTACCCAAGGCGGCGCGTGAGGGCCGTGGATCAGCCGCCATGCGCCTTCTCCCTCCCACGCACGCATTTCTCGCGTTTTCCGCGCCGTCAGTTCTCATTCTCGCTAGTGCTTTTCAGTCTACCAGATGGTGCCTTTGCATGTGTGTAGCTCGTTATGCAAATCAGATTTCCAGATTGCTCGTTTCGGGTTTACTCCAAGCATCTCCATCCCCCACTGCCTTCTCTCCCCATCCGCCTCCCTTGTCGCAGGGCGTTTGAGTGCCGCAAGTTGTGGCAGCAGCAGGAATCAGAACAGAGGAGCAGAGGAGCAGCGGATCAAGAGAGCATGGGACCACGGGAGCATGGGACCACGGGAGCATGGGACCACGGGAGCATGGGAGCAGGGGAGCATGAGACCATGGGAGCAGGGGAGCATGGGAGCATGGGACCACGGGAGCATGGGACCACGGGAGCATGGGAGCAGGGGAGCATGGGAGCATGGGAGCATGGGAGCATGGGAGCATGGGAGCATGGGAGCATGGGAGCATGGGAGCATGGGAGCAGGGGAGCATGGGAGCATGGGAGCATGGGACCACGGGAGCATGGGACCACAGGAGCATGGGAGCAGGGGAGCATGAGACCATGGGAGCAGGGGAGCATGGGAGCATGGGAGCAAGGGAGCATGGGAGCATGGGAGCAAGGGAGCATGGGAGCAGGGGAGCAAGGGAGCAGGGGAGCAGGGGAGCAAGGGAGCAGGGGAGCATGGGAGCATGGGAGCAGGGGAGCATGGGAGCATGGGAGCAGGGGAGCAAGGAAGCAGGGGAGCTGGGGAGCAGGGGAGCATGGCATGGGAGCATGGGAGCATGGGGAGCATGGGAGCATGGGACCAAAGGAGGAAGGGAGCAAGGGAGCAGGGGAGCATGGGAGCATGGGAGCATGGGAGCAGGGGAGCAAGGGAGCAGGGGAGCATGGGAGCATGGGAGCATGGGAGCATGGGGACCATGGGAGCATGGGAGAATGGGAGCATGGGAGCAGGGGAGCATGGGAGCATGGGGAGCATGGGAGCATGGGAGCATGGGAGCATTGACAGCATGGAGAGCCCGAGAGAATGGGGAGCATGGGAGCATGGGAGCATGGGAGCAGGGGAGCATGGGAGCATGGGAGCAGGGGAGCATGGGAGCATGGGAGCATGAGAGCATGGGAGCATGAGAGCATGGGAGCATGGGAGCAGGGGAGCATGGGACCATGGGACCATGGGAGCAGGGGAGCATGGGAGCATGGGAGCATGGGAGCAGGGGAGCAAGGGAGCATGGGAGCAAGGGAGCAAGGGAGCAGGGGAGCATGGGAGCAAGGGATCAGGGGAGCATGGGAGCGAGGGAGCATGGGAGCAGGGGAGCAAGGGAGCAGGGGAGCAGGGGAGCAAGGGAGCAGGGGAGCATGGGAGCATGGGAGCAGGGGAGCATGGGAGCATGGGAGCAGGGGAGCAAGGGAGCAGGGGAGCAGGGGAGCATGGGAGCAGGGGAGCATGGGAGCATTGACATCATGGAGAGCCTGAGAGCATGGGGAGCATGGGAGCATGGGATCAGGCGAGCAGGGGAGCATGGGAGCATGGTGCTGCATGCGAGCATGGGGTGCATGGGAGCTTGGGCGCACGGGAGCATGGGAGCATGGGTGGATGGGAGAATTATGGGGAGCACACAAGCAGGGGAGCATGGGAGCACGGGAGCATGGGAGCCTGGGAGCATGGGAGCATGGGAGCCTGGGAGCATGGGAGAATGGGAGCATGGGAGCACTGACAGCATGGAGAACCTGAAAGAATGGGGAGCATGGGAGCATGGGAGCATTGACAGCATGGAGAGCCCGAGAGAATGGGGAGCATGGGAGCATGGGAGCAGGGGAGCATGGGAGCATTGACAGCATGGAGAGCCCGAGGGCATGGGGAGCATGGGAGCATGGGAGCATGGGAGCAAGGGAGCATCGGAGCATGGGAGCATCGGAGCATGGGAGCATGGGAGCATTGACAGCATGGAGAGCCCGAGAGCATGGGGAGCATGGGGAGCATGGGTGCATGGGTGCGTGGGTGCATGGGAGGAGTATGGGGAGCACGGGAGCATGGGAGCATGGGAGCACGGGAGCATTGGCAGCATGCGAGCAGAAGAGCATGGGAGTGTGACAGGAGGGGGAGTGGGGGGAGACTTGATGGGGGTATGGGGTTGACCCAGGGGTGAACCAGCTCGGGACTATTGGGGGGAAGGTGAGAGTAGGGAAGGGGAGGAGACTGCACTCAGCATGGAGGAGACTAGAGCAGGAGAGGAGGATGACAGCAAGGGGAAAGGAGCGTAACAGGAGGGGGAGCGGTGGGGGGATTGGGAGACAGGTGGCGAAAAGGAGGGTCGCTGGAGGCGGAATGGGGGGTGGGATGAGGGATGGAGGATGGCCGTATGGGGATTGGAGGAAGCCTGTATGGGGAGCGGTGTGGTCATGTGTTGGGGTTTTGGGTGCTACTTGCATTGTGTGGTGTAAACAAAAGCCATGACATTAGCTGCAATTTACAAACAATCATATACCATATATGTAACATGGAAATGGCATGTATAATGATGTTGGTCTGCTTTTGCCATATTCTAGCGGCCCCCCAACCATGAGCTAGCAGCACCCCCATGCACAAATGCACCCTCAACTAAAACCCTTAAAAAAGTGACACATGAAACTGCTGGGATTACCCATTGCCTGCGCAACGGACACATGAAACTACTGTCAAACATAACTTAGTTTGTTACTGTAGACTATACAGGTTTGTGCCTTAGAGGGTACAACACACTAGCCTATATTGCCTTGTACCCTCCTATTCTAGTTATTCTTCCATTCTAACAACTACCACACACATTGCGTGCCCTGCCTTGGCAACGAAGCGAAGTCTACACGGTAGAGTCAGTACAAACAGATGCAACCTATCCATCCGCCCCATGCCATGAGCCACGAGAGTGGCCCCATGATACATGCGATGCGAAGCCCCCTGCGCCCATGTCTATGGGTTGTGCGCTCAACCGCCTGCAAGATCCCTTGAACCATAGTGTTTGCAATGGCCGGCAACTCAAAAGCGGTCAGCTGGCAGCCCCTTCCGATCTCCTATGCCGCTGCTGGAAACCTGCCACAAGGACACCAAGCAAAGTCGCCCGGATCAGCCATAAGGACCCTCCAGCATGGGCAGCATGGAACAAACCCCAGCAAGAAGCTAAGGGGAGAGAGGCGGCCGCAGTTTTCCACCTCTTCGCTTTCCCCCTCACAATTCCCCCCTCACAGCTTTCCCCCTTACAGCTTTCCTCCTCACAGCTTTCCCCCTCACAACTTTCCCCCTCACAGCTGTCCCCCTCACAGCTTTCCCCCACACATCTTTCCCCCTCACAGCTTTCCCCCTTATAGCTTTCCTCCTCACAGCTTTCCCCCTCACAGCTTTCCCCCACACATCTTTCCCCCTCACAGCTTTCCCCCACACATCTTTCCCCCTCACAACTTTCCCTCTCTCAGCTTCCCTTCCCCCCACCCCCAGCTTACCGTCACTTAGCTTTTCCCCGGCCAGCTCTCCCCCATATCGCGTCATCCTCTCAGCTTCCTCCCTCTCAGCTAACTCCCTCGCAGCGTTCCCCCTCTTCGCATACCCCCTCTTACCTTACCCCCTCCCAGCTTCCACCCAGTCGTCCATCCCTATCTCAGCTTGATCCCTCTCATCTTCACCCCTCTCAGTTTCCCCCATCTCAAGGGACCCCGCCCGTGTAGCCCCCTCTCAGGGATCCCCCTCTCGTCACTAGTAAGCGAGGCGGAATGCGCAAGGGTCAAAGGAGTGGCGATGCAGCCTGAAACTCCTTCATGGTGCAATAACTAGAAAACAGTTGACTGACCAATTAGGCGGCGTTGGGCTGGAGCATCTCTCTGGGTGGGCGTTGGGCTGCCAACCCCAGTGATACTGCTGCCACATCTGGGGGTGTCACTGCAGCCGGCATTGAAACGCAGCGTGAGATCTCTCAAAGGCGTTGAGTCACCGGTGGCGGCTGGACCAGCAATGGTGCGTGGGCGCACCACCTGCTCGTTCTCGTGGAGACTGTTATCCCCGGCAGCCTCATCTCCGGCCGCCTCCACCATGTCATCGGCCTCCTCCGGGTCCTCCTCACCCACCTGTAGCCACTGATGCATG